CAGCTCGAGGCTAAGAAATTTTAGGATCAATTTTCAACAATATTAATTAATTTTAAACAATAACTTCTCCGAGGAAGCGGAGGATTCTATCGTTAGTTGGGACATTGTCTCGCTCGAACGATCGTAATGTCGAAAACCTACGTGAGGCAGAATTCGCGAGATTCGTATCGACGTTCTTCCATGGTTTTCAAAGAAATTCGAAGAATCGAAAAATTACCACGCTCGACTTCCCGTTCGATATCGTTGACTTCGTTTTCGATTCGGCGGTCAAGCGGCACGTACCAATTGTCATTGGCGATGCGTGAAACGGTCTACAGAAACCTTGACACAGCCTTTTCGTCTAGACACGAATAGACGCTTGCGACTAGTACTCTTTGTAGATGCGGGTATGTGTCAGTCTCTACTGATATTAAAAGATCTATGCATCTCACACACAGAACAAGTACCCGAACTTTTGATCGATACTCATGCATCTATATATACCATCGATGTCTAGCCGAAACGACGAGTCTGCTTCCTCGTTCTGAGAACATACGCAAACATAACTTCCTACATCCCCCCGGTTCCACAAGAAGAATTGGCAGGATAGACGGAATTAAAGTGTTAATCTTACCAGGTCCCTCGTAGGATCGAAGACCATGCTTGCTTCGATGGATGGTTGTAAGGAATTTTATTCTTAGATGAGATTGCTGCGTCCACTTGTCGGCACGCAGGGACTACGTTGGTTCTATCCTTCTCCCGGACTGACAGAGAGGGTGTACCATATATACACACGTACATACGTATCTCTGCATGGAAAGGCTGTTGGCCTCCGATTTTTCCGCGGCGAATCGGCCGCTCGTTGGAAAGTCACGGTGCTCGGATCGGACGCGCGACAACGCGAGTCACATACGGTCAGTCCTGATTTCAACTCGGTTGATTTCCCTTTTCCATGCCTCTCCCTGACCATGCTCTTTTTATCCAGACGCCCGTTCGACGAACAAAAACTCGGACAGCTCAAACCGCTCTCTGATCTAGCTGGCCATTAACGGTCGATTCCTCGGGCTCCTGGCTTTCTTTTTCCGAATTTCTCCCCAGCTAGACTTGTTCGATCGGTTCGTCTACGTCGGCACCATAGCCACGGTTGCCGATCACCACGGGCGGGATACACCGTCTCCGCTCGTTCCCCGTCCCGATCTATAACGAGAGATAATCGACCGTACGAATAAAAAGAGTTTCTCTTTCTTATCTCGACTGACCTGCCGCGCTGTCTCTAACAACGCTTCGATACCAACAACTTTCTTCGCCCGATTTTCATCCCGTGTTTTACTTTTATCCTACGTTCCTGTTTCGTTCTATCTGTTCGCCGTGCTTTTATTTTATTTCATTTTATTCTCTACTCGAACCTCTTGTCGTAGGGATTCTGTTTGCTATTCGTTGTTCCAGCCGCTCTAAAAGCGGATTCCTCGAGATCCGTTCGCTGGGAACTCGTTCCTCGAGATGGTTATTCTTCCAGATATATCGCGATCTCTCTGCCTCTCGGTTTTTTCACGCCGGCTCACGGATCTAGGTCGCAAGTTCAGGAGGAGACTGTCGCGACTCCTTGACCCGCAGTCCTCCGACTAATGGAGGATAGATGCCTCCGATTTTCCGTCGAAGATCCTTAGATCTTTGATTAACCAAAGGACCAGATCGTCCTTCCAAAATTTCTTCAACTCTTTAACATAGACATTCAACAAGCGTACAATATAAAACTTCCTGAAGATTAAGTATTCAAAATAAATTTCCTAAATCTACGGGATTTTTATTACATAGTGATTTCAAATAGAAAATAGAAAAGTTTTACAAATACTTAACTTGGATATATTAATGTCCAATTGCTCAGATTGAGATCAAAATCATCTCGATTCCACGCACAAGGATCGACCTACGAATCACTGGATCCTTCGATCGCAGTAACAGCAGATACCATAGAATATAAATAGGGTAATTGGAAATATTCCAACAACTATCTCTGCAAGCATCTCCGACGGATTTCAAGATCTCGCAACTAATTGCACTTTCCGTGATAGACACGCGTTTCTCAGGATCGATCGATAAATCAACCGATGCCTGAATCGCGATTTTCCAACGTTGGTGGGACCGACAGGTTGCTAGATGGACTTATCGATCGGCTAAACTTTCCCCTCTCACGAATATCATGTTGGATCTCGATGGACTTCCAGCCAGCTCGTTAATCTCCTGCAACAACATCCAGTCACGTTCGCGATACGAATTATAGTTTTCGATTTGAACAACGAAACAACTTGTGATTCTGTGGAATTTGAACTCGTATTTTAGATTTCAATCGTTTGACTTGAAAATTAATGGGTTACTGCAATTACCATCATCCGATAATATTCGGTTACTTTCTTATTTTTGACGAGATGTACTTTACTTGGAAAATTACGAATAAATTGAAAATAAATAATTTTTATACTTTACAATTGTGGTATCAACTTATGTAGAACTAGTTTGTTAGCCGATGTAATCTTCAGATTTATCTCCAGGTTTTTCAATCTCTGAATTTGAATTAGAAATTAGATTAAGAAGTTCGTTTTTTACTGACAGAGAAGCTTCCAAAATTAATAAGTAACATTTGATAACACTAGTAATACTAATATTTAAATAGTAAATTCATTATTATTATTGTATTTCTTGGTAGCTAATTTAAATTTATTAAATTTATTAATTTCATTCAAAAGTAGCAAATGCCTATTGCTTCTAACTTCCAATTTATCATATATTATCACCGTAAATCAATTAAAAATATCCGAATATTTATCATAAACGATAGCATTTACAATGTTAATACTCAACACGACGTAACAACAAGTTGCAATGACTAACACTTGCCTAAAGAAATTAAAAAAAAAAAAAAAA